GAAAAGTAACCAAGACAGAGCACATCCATGCCCCAGATATTGTTCACCTCTCCCTAGTCTCTCCAGACCTCACCCCTAATGTTACAGGGACTCACCCACAGAACTTCCTTTTGGCTTCTGCCCAGTCATGGAGAGGGCGTATCTGTTTCTGTTTCTACTTGCACTTGTAAACTTTGTAAATTGCCACACTGAACTCTTATTGTGTTTTGCCCAACACTTCTAGCCTGTCAACTTGCCTAATCTTATCCTTCATCTTTACTTTTAAATTTTCGATACTGGCCCTTGAAACAAGGGGGGCTCCAGCATTTGAAGCAAGAGCTCTACCATTAAGCTACAATCCTATGCCCATTTATTTTTAAATTTTCTTAGTTTTTACTTATGCTTTTGGAATGAAGATTTTCTTAAAACTAAGAATCAGCTAGTGCAAAACTAACTATCCAAAATTTTGTGATCACCCCGTTATTTTTCTTTATTTTGAAGAGAAAAAAACAATAACCACAATGATGCAGAATTTCAAAATAAGATAATAGAAAATTAACAATGGTCATTATATTGCATATTATTATCCTCAAAGTAGTTGCCCATATTACAAGACATAGGCATGCAAAATTGGTCAAACAATATAAGCACAAACCATTCCTCTCAATGAACTAATAGAAATTAGTAGGATAGTTATCTTAGAAATCTGTATATGATATATTTTTTCTTTTCCTTCCATTCTTTCCCCATTCTAGTTTTTTTTTTCTTTTGAGCTGTTTCTTTCCTTTCAGAATATCTACTATACATTTTGTATCTTATTTACTCCTTCAATTTCTTACACTAAGGATACAATGCAGTGTTTATACATGTGAGACTGATTTATTTCACTTATGAGTATGGTCTCTAGTTGCATCTCTTTACCTTAAAAAGCCCCAAGTTTATCCTTCTTTATAGCTGAGTAATACTCCATTGTGTAAAAATACCACATCTTTTTTATCCATTCCTTGGTTGAAAGGCACCTGGTTTATTTCCAAGGTTTAGCTATTACAAATTGTGCTGCTATACAGAG